ACAGATGGCTAGGGCAATTTAGAAATCTTCAGGTCCTTAAGACATGTGGATAGGGCTGGTAGGAAAGCTACAGGATATGAAGGAGACTGAGTCCTTTCTGAAGTGGCAACTGCAATCCCCGTAGAATTACCTAGGCAGCCTAAAGTGATATTAGAGGCTTTGCTTAAACGATCCCAGTCTAGCTGTAAATTTTCTGCCCTATTTGGAAAGAATTTATAGAATTATAGAATCATAGAATGGTTTGGTTGGAAGGGACCTCAAAGATCATCTAGTTCCAACCCCCCTGCCATGGGCAGAGACACCTTCCACTAGACCACATTGCTCAAATACGTAAGAATTTCTTGGAGCAGTGACTACAACTTTAGAAGCACCTTTTCACCTACTTTACTTGCTGGAAGGCACAAGAAATGCTTCCACTCCCCACTTCTCTGACCAGTAAATAGGGTGGAAGTGAAGAATATGCACCATGTCAAAGCTAATGAAGGGTTTTCCCATTAGCTATTAAGATACATACATTTTACTGCTCCATGATAATTTAAAACTTGCAACGGAGGAAAAGAAAACAGAGAAGCTGTAATGCATTTGAGTCTTTGCCATGCCCTATAATGCTAAACTAAAGAAAGAGCCATCAGATCTCAGTACAGCTATTTTAATGTTTCATTTTGCACTGGCACATTCTTCCCTTAGTAGCCCAATCCATCATAGCTATCCCTGTATCCAACTATTACTACTTCTCCCACAATATATCATAAGTAGCATTGCTTTTATTTCTGACAATATAATGAAGTATCATATTTAAGGAAAAGACTGACAAGCTGTCTAGAAATGACAATACACCTAGAAAATCATCTGCTTTCATAGTCCCAGGAAAAACTTTCACCATGTGTTTAAATAACAAGCACCCTGGACCAGATTCAAATATCCATTGCACAGGGCTTTCATCATCCTTCTCCTTAGAGAGCAGAGAATAGATAGAAATCATTTTTAAGGACTTCAAACTGTTTGAGCAGTGAATTTTGCTGTCTGTGGTTCAGCCACATTAATCTACTTTTTTTAAAGATGCGTGCTTCATTAGTTTTCCTGCAGAGTCAACAAAGATATCAAAGGCCAGCCTGACTCTTGTTTTTCCTCTTCAACATCTGTTTTGCAAATTCCAATGAGAAAACCTTTATTGTTTGCAACAACACGTATGGCAAGAAGAGTGCTGTATCATCCCAGTCCTAAAACCAATTTGGCTGTGTAATATTATCTGTTAAAAAGTTGTCTTTTATTCCATGTCATCACATGTTACTTTTGCTGATTCAGTAGAGCTGAAATGCTTTTGAGTAAATACCACAGTTATTTCCCACATTGAATATTCTGTACAGATGAAAAAGAGCAATTGCATAGTTATTCCCTAAAAATGTGTGTAGAAGGTATTAGATTTATTATAGTAAATGTACATTGTACAGTAGAAAAAGAATAATGGCATAGAACAGGTATTATTGTTTTATAACAAAGTAAAACCCTAAAAGTTGTTACCATGCTCATTATCTTGACAAGAGCTAAGCAGATGGTATATACCAGAGAGAACATTACTGCAACAGTTTGTTTTCTAACTGAACAACCAAGCTTGTAGGTTTTTATTGTTAAAAGTATCCACTTCATATGCATATTTATATGCAATATTCATTAGAAGACATACCCAGTAGACTGATTATCTTATTTGATTGAATAGCACTGTACTTACATCACTCATATTGTTAGAAGAGTAGCAGTAGTCCAACATGAAGTTTGCAAGTGTCTTGACTTCATTGTCTCATAAAGATGTAAGGCTAAAAGTTCTCTATTACTTCACTTAACAAAGCTTTCAAACTCAATGCATGAAGACATTACAAAAGTAACTGTCCATACCACTCCCCTAAAAATATTACCCCTGTTTCATCTTAATCGCTATTGTCTATGGTTTCACATGTGCTGTGCTTAATAATCTCACAGGTGTATATTAGAAACTGATAAAACGTCAACTAGATCTTTCATTTGTTTCTATGTTCATTTTTTCTGCTATTTTTGCTATGAGACTACATCTAAATAGCTGAGATAAAGTGTGTAGATATTTTTCCTTTTTTTTTTTCTCATATGAAAATCATAAGAAATGGAGAGATGAAATTACTTGGAAAATCAGAAGAATTTGACAAAGGGTGATTTGCTTACCCAGGCTGTTTTTAGCATCATTTTACAAAATTCAGTAGAGAACTAGATAGATTATTTCTTTTTCTGACTGTAATTTTTTCCATTCTATTTTGCCATTAGGGCAATGCAATGTATTATAATAGGCTGCATATTTCTCTGTTATATCCTGGTTTAGAAGGCACAGGATGCATAACTCTGTAGTTTTAGTTCTTTATAGAAAACAGAAATATTTGACAGGTCAGTGCTATATTAAGGATTTTATACCTTCCTCATAACCCCTTTCTCCAAGGTAGGGGTAAGGATACTAGAGCCTCAGGAACTAGTTTTATTATTCAATTGAGTTGTTGTGTTGTCAGTCTCACCCTTGCCTGTGAACCAAGTTTTCTGGTTTATCATAGTTCTAAATGTGAAATATGCAAATACTTTTTATAAAGATTCTAGAAAGTTCCTGGTGGATTTAAATGTAGTTAAAAAACCCAAAACCATTATTGTACTTATTTCTTTACAGGAGCTACTGTATATAAGCCACAGTATTGTTCAAAACACTGTTTTGTTCTTAAAAAGAAATTTTCTAGCATTATCCTCTTTCAACCAGATGTTCTTGTTTAAAATGTTTGGATTAAATCCAGTCAGCAGTTTGGTGTTCTGCGCATGAGATCACTTCCATTAGGGACAAAGTAATGATCTGTTACAAATCCTATTTTTCTTAGAAAATTAATAACTTAAAATAAAAAAACAAAAACACAGCACTGAAATAGTTCTAGTTGATGTGTAATTTCAAGATTATATCAACAGTGTTGGCTTCTGTATATTTCTTATAAAATGGAATTAAATAGCTCAGATTAGATCAGATTTTAGTAACCTGAGTAGACCTATACAAGACATATAGGCCTAAAAGTAAATAATATGCTCTTAAAGTGCGTATGGACCAGCCTGCTCTGTCTCACCCTTGTCTTGATTCTCCTACTATCATCCTTTATTAACTCAGCCTATCACCTTTATCAGCCCACCTGGCATGGCTGGAAAAACTAGATGAGCTTTTAGACAGAAAGAAGGGCTTGTGTGCACAAAAACACATTTAATTTTTCCAGTTATACTAGTTGATCTAACACAAAATGTTAACTCCATCTATAAACCTTGTCTTCCCCATGACCTTATGCCACCATCACAGCAAGAACAAGAAAATAAGAAGCCTTTATTTGCATGGAGTAAAATTCTCTTCTGAAGGATTCTCAGTCCACAAAATTATTTCCACCTGTTTAGAATATAACTGAACTGGTAGACTTTTCCACCTTACTTGCTCTGATTCAGTGAAACTGACAAAAACATCCCAAAGTAGATTTAGTTACAGAATAGTTCATGTTAATGCAGATACTGCCCATGCCCTGCCCAGCATAAGCTGCACTTCTATGTACATTATTTACTCCTATATTTATATCTTTATGAGGGTTTTTAATGATGTGGTTTGGCTAGCAAAGCTTTCCAAAGGAGCTCTAGCCATAGCTTAACTTAGACTTCTTGCTTAAGATGCACGTAGATAAATCGCTATTCTGATCACTAAAAGTAGGTCTGCTAAAAGTGGATGAAAAAAATCCTGCTTGTGCGAGGAACAATTCATTGAATAAGCCACACAGCCAAGCTGTTGAATTTTAAATAGTTTTCCAATCCAGCTACATGCTCTATTTGCCAAGCATATTATCATAACAATACCAAATATCCTTGAATGTGAATGAAAGCCTGGATGCTGCTTCAGTATAACCCAATTTCCTCCCTTCTTTTTAGCAGTAGATAAGGTCATTGAAAGAAACGACATTTTTCAAACACAAATAATTACCCTGTGTAAAGGGTGATTAAAGCCAATATGCTTTCTGGACGGATTTCCAACATGGACAGCTAAATCTGTTTCTAGCTCTCTAGATCCAGCGGTCTTGTTTTGCTCTGTTAATGTGAAGTCCAGGTGCAGCATAGGAATTGCATTTGCACAATGCCTTAGAACATCAAGGACTCTTTCACAGGGTACCTAAGCATGCATTTAATTTGCAAATGTAGGGCTAAACCTTAAAAAGGCATTTGCGAGCCTCCAAATCTGGAAGGTTAGCACATGATTAAGGGGCCACACTGTAGAGCTCATGCTTTCTTCAGCATTGCCTTAGCGTCACCAGGTTTGTTCCCACACATGGAGGCATGATTGCAGGGTAAGAGGAAAGGGATATTTGCTGTAATTGTCCAAAAGGACATCTTCTGCAATATTCTACCTTTAGGTAGACAGATCTCTCCTTCCTCTCACCCTAGGCAGCCAATTCAGATCTTTTCTTACACAAATACCTCCTCCTTATGTCTATAGCTAAGAAGCAGCAGAGCTAAAGGTTGTATTGTTTCAGTCTCCTCCAGAAAAAAGCATAATGTCTTAAGAGGTAAATCTGCATAACCCGATAGTCTGAAATTCCAGAAGCAGGGAGGAGGCTGGACAAGAACCTGGGCAACAGTTGCACAGAGGATTGTGGTGCTGGGAAGCTTTTTTGCTAGCTCAACAGGGAAGAACGTGGCATGACCTCGTGTCAGAAAAGGAAGGAGAAAATAAAAATAGTTCATTACAGCATGGCTTGGCCAGCATGTCCTAATACAAAGGCCAGTAGCTTCTGCCTGTAAGAATTTAACGTCAAGTTGTTTCCAAGGAAAATAAAACTGCTATTAAATGGGACTTTATCCAAAAGCACACAAGTGCTTTTAAGAAGTGGAACAGTTTCAGTTGTTGTGATTTCCTAAAAACACATCCTTTACAGGAAAGAAAGTAATAAGTTGTTTTGTTTTTTTTTTTTTATTTCTAGAAAGCACAGTTGCCAGCAACATGAACTGAGTTTCAGGTTTGTTGCAGGGCAGGAGCAGAGGATGTCTGAGATCATTTTAGGCTTAATGTTACAACCGGACAAATAACATATTCTCTTCATTGTACTAGACAAAGTTAGCTCCTACCTGTGTTCCAAGCTGACTGTTGACAGTTCATTTAAATTCAATGTATGCAGTTGCCACATTTGGTTTGTACTTATTTTATGCTAGTGAATTTCAGTAACCAAGAAGTGACCTGTTACAACATGTGCAGCTGATCACTGCCACATCATCAGGGGGAAAGGAGAGGTTTGGGTGGGAGAAGTTCCCCGTAGATGAGAAGGAGCAAGATTCCCCTCAAAGGGAAGCCCAGATTAGGACAGAAAAATAAAATTCAACATAATACCTGAGAAATATGGAGGAAACAAGGCAAATGTATGGGTAAGCATCCATACCGTGGGCATGTAAGATATTGTCCAGCATTGTAGCTTGCTGTGTTCTTATGTACAGTTTTGACATTTACTTTAAACACAATAAAACATGTACCAATAAATGTCATAGCAGATTATTATCTCTTTGCTTGGTGAAATGTCTCTGCAAATGTGTAAGTTTTTCTCAAGGGCTGTAAGACTTGATTGTGCCAGTGCTGCCTGTGCCAGTCCAGCTCCCAGCCCTGCACCATACAAGAAAAATCACAGTGGATGTAAGCATGGAAAAAATCAGGAATAAAGGCCCTATTGGTCCTATTATGCGTCTGCATGGGCAAAGATAAGAGACAGTCAAGTGTCTTGAACTTTTGGTTTCTCCGTTGTTATAAACTGCTTTTGCAGATTCTTCTGTATGCAAATGACTGACCTTGGACTCCTCCCCATGGGAACAGATGCCATCTTGGTCTGCGGAGAGCAGGAAGGGATGTAAAAGGCATGAAATTGAAAGGACTTCTTCTGGACAGATGATGTTTATAATAAAAGAACTGAGCTGTGCAGAGGAGAGGGACGACTCAGTTGTGAGTGCAAGACAGGGAAATAAGCTCCTGTTACCTCAGTTGCCTGGTCTGTAGCCAGAACCCTGGCCTGGGGGCACCACCAGCCCTGACTGTCCCTGCCTGTTTGATCTCCTGCTCACATCGTGGTGGTCTCCAGGTAGTGATTCCCACAGTGGGGAGGGTGGCAAGTCAGCCTGTACAGGAGCGGGTGCACAGGAAGTGTCTGTCTTGTTCAGGTAAGGCAGGTGGGGTGACTGGCTCAGCTCTCAGCGAAGCATCGTCCCAGCCAGCTGAGCAGACACTTTGTCGACTTCAGGAGCTGTCACATTCTACATTCAACCCAGTAGTACTTATGCTGTCTCCAGCTCTGTCTGAGCATGATTCCTACAGCAAGAGTAGGAGAAACGTGGAGTCATCCTGAGACAGGCTTTTTCCTGAACTACGTTTCTGGAAGAGAGCCCTTAGCCCTAGGTTTGCCATCTGCCAAGAGGCAGATCACCTACTGTGCTAGAAGACCATCATGTCTAGCTTTGTTTGCAGTTATAATGCAGGTGCTCGAAGACCCTTCACTTCTAGGTGAAGGATAAACATGAGCAGCATGGGAGACAGCAGGGATGTAGCCCTTCTTGCGTTGCTGGTGTTCAAGCTTTGCTGGGATAAGGAGCAGCCTGCCTGCTACACCTGGAGCAAAACTGGAGGGGTAAAGTTTGGGGCCACATGGCACAGGAGTCACCATAAGACTATGACTCAGGGGAGGGCTGTGAGACACACCAGTCATCTCAATAATGTCAGCTCAGATACTTGTTCTCAAACAGCTTTTTGAGCCACTACTGTCACGCACTTACTTGCTTTAGCAATGCTGAAATTGATCATTAATATTTAAAGAATATGTATTAGTTATGTGAATATAAATTAATAGGCACTGTGTTTTACTTGAGGTCTTCTGTATGTAGGTCAAATTTAATATTGCATCAAGTTGTCTGAATGCTTTTCAAAAAAAGCCTGCCATTATATTCTTCAAGTAAACATAATCCATCATGCAGAGGAAATACTAGAAACTATTAGGCTTGTACTATCCTGGTTTATCTTTTGCAACTCTTCTGTTCTACTTGATACCCTGCTAAATTCTCACATGCTGTAAAATGTGAAAGAACTACACTACAGCAAAAAGCTTTAGATTAGACATCAGAAAAACCTTAACAGTAAGGATAATTGTGAGCTGCTTTCCTGAGAAGGGTGTGGAGTTGTCACCCTGGGAAGTTTTATCCTGTGGTTGTCCAAGCAGCAGTCAGGAAGGACATGGTAGAGTTGATTTTGTTTGAATGAAGGGAGATAGACTCAGTGGCTTCTGGGGACCCATTCCAGCCCTTCAATTGTTATAGTAGAGGTCACAAATTCACACTTTCAGTGTATGCAGTACATTTCAAATTAAAGATTCAGTATTTTGTATCCACGTGCAGAGGAAAATATGGGACCAAACAATGAAATGAGCTCTAGGCCTGTGCCTCAAACCTTCCACAAAGGTAGCAAGCTGTAGGGACCTTCAGTTTTGGAAGGAGTTAGGCCTAGACAACCAGTTGTTTATGACTATTAACAAGGACTTTATTCCTCTGAGTATGCTCCATCAGAGTACTCTGTCCTTTAGGTTGGTCTCAATCATACGCCAATATGTGCAGGTTAGAGAGACTAAAGTGAATATTGGTCTCTAATTTAGCAAGGTTATTTAGGACAAGATGTTTTTCTGAAGCATTTGTTATCTGATAATTCATAATCTGGCTATTCTGTGAAAAGAGCTTTCAGCAGTGATGGGAGCGTGCAGGTAATGCCTGTGGTGCTGGCGCTGAGAGCCTGGGTGGATGAGCACCTGAGGCGCTAGAACAACTGCTGGGTGGGAGCCAGCTCCCCAGTTTGGTGGGTGCCAGGAGGACACAAAGTCTCCATCACCAGCTGCAGGAGAACTGGCAGAGGCCAGAAGATCATGCCTGAACATGTCTGACTTGCGTGCATGTCTCGTCATAGCTGGGGGGCACTCCAGCTAAGAACAACTGAGCTGTCAAGGTGAGGCAACTCCAGAAGTTGCTATTATATTGTGAAAATCAGGTGCAAACCAGCTGTACTCAGTGTACCCCCGGGGCATGGGGAGCTGCCACTTGAGTGAAATGATGTTGCTTTTAGGCTTATACTGGAGATGTTTTGAGAAACGAGATTTCTGAGTGTTCCCAGAGTGGTTTGGAAGAGATTTTTCTTCTTTCTCTGAAGAGAGCTATTCTGCTCAGTCAGTTCCTGGGGCAAGGACTCAGCGTGCTGTACGCTTCCCAAAGGAATCAAAAGTGCTCTAAAAGATGACCTACAGCACTGAATTGCAGCCTGCCAAGACAGCAGGGCATGTAGATATAGCCAAAGTGATTAATGGGGACAGCAGCTGTGGGAACTTGAGTACATAAAGCTCTGGGTTCCTGGAAATGCAGCATTTCCTCTTTTCATATCTATGAGCTATGGGAGATCAGTGGAGAAGGAAGGCAGAAGGTGCAAAAGCCATCCTGCAGAGAAAAGAGGATTGCTTCCAGTGGCTCATGGTAAGTTGCAGTACAGCTGTTTAGGTGTCACAAATCTAGTGCATAGAGTTAAAGAAAAAGACAACAAAAAAGGATTTTCTATTTCAGCCCTCATGGTGTAAGAACACACACAGACCCAAAATGTTCACCAGATGTCTATCAAACTTGTTCCTAAAACTTCCAGATGGGAAGATCCCACTACCTCCCCAGGCAAAATTCCAGTGCTTCACTCTTCTTTGCATGAAAGAGATTTTAACGAGAGTTAAAGGACACTGCTCTCGTTCCCCGTGGAAACCAACTTGGGGCTGGGAATTCTGTGACTAAACATGGAAAAGTACAAAAAAATAAACAAACTGGCCAATCAATACAAAGGCAGTGCCCACCACTCACTGTTCTCCTTGTTAGCTCTGGTCGTTCATCTCTCACTTGCTACTCCTACCAATGTATCTTTACCAGGAAAGGAAAATTAGGGAAATTTTCTCTAGTACTTTAGAAGCTGGCTCTTCAGAACAAATTTGCATCTGATGGGGAAGCAGTAACACCGGTGCATAGTACAGGGGGATTAAAAACCGTGCAAAGCCTGTATAAAAGCCCTCTGAAGTCGGCAGAAATATTTATATTCCACTGACAGAAATTACTGAATCAGTGCTTGGAAGTACGTCCTTGATTAACTGACAAGCCTCCTGTTCATCACTTCAGGAAAGCACACGCTCTAAGCCAGAGAAGCAGAGCTGCATGATGTTCCCTAGCGAAGGTGTAGAATGAGCAATAATGTACACCTCTCTTTCTCCAAGGCGAAAGCCTAATGCAGGTATTTTATAATCTGACACTTGTTCAAATTCTGTTTTGTTCTGATTACTGTGCAGTTCTACGTTTTTCCAAATTAAGAACACTAATTTGAGATCAAAACTCATTTATTCATTTTATCCATATTTATTTTCCTTTTCAAGGGAGCTGTTTTTTTCTTCTCCTTTTTCTAATTTAGATGAAATCTGCACAATGCTTTCACAAAATATGTGTGCGTGTGTGGAGGGGTGTTTTTCCAAATAGGTGCCTCTATTTTTCACTGAATCATAACCTTGATTATGTTTTTCAGTTTCTCACAGTGATAATGTTACATTTGGCTTTTTTCCCTTGCTCTTTCCCAGTATTTCACACTTGCATGCTGCCTTTCTCACATGAAATACAGCTTTGAGAAAATAAAACTTCTGAACTATTGATATTGCATAAATTCAAGTGAACCAACTTTAAGCCTCTTGTGGTAGGAAGGAAAAAGGGGAGCTGAGAAAGAAATGCATATTTGAGTAAGACAAATTTTCATATAAGCTAGTGGTGTGATATGAGTAATGAAAAAAAATAAATCCCTCAGGATTTTTTCAAGTTTATGGACAAGTATCCCCGGCCAATTTGCCTTGAGTGCTTACTGCCACTCTATGCTGGGGATTTAATGTCACCCGTTGTCAAAAACGTATCATCTGCTGCACCCTTCTGGACGTTGCCAGCACAGCACATTCGCCAGAAAATCGCAAACAAAATCAGGCAGGATTACGGAAGAGTTTTCATCCGCAAAGATGTGGCTTCCATTGTTTCTAATAGAAAATGGGCATAAAAATCTCCCTGTTATAAAAATCTCCATGGTATTTACTAGCGGATGTACAGTGACTTCAGAATTCTGCATCTATAGTCTCTAACAGTTGCTAACTGAGAACAGAGCAAGTACCGCTGTCGTGGCCAGAGCAAGCAAGGCTTGGCTCTGCATATTTCGTATCCCTGCTCATCATGTCCTTCTGCACCTCTTGGTGACCCCGCCTCTCTCCTATATCAAACTGCGAAATCTTCAGGTCCTCCATGCCCTCCTCACTCCCAAATATTCCTCTAATCCTGCCTCTTCCCAACCATGTCCCCATAATCTCCCTGTGAGGTACTCCTGCTTCCATAAGGACAGCCCATCTCTTCCACATCCATGTGTACAAGGTGGTGTTCCCGGGATTCACCTGTACATATGCTGACATGCCGAT